GGAGGGGGCGGGGGGGAGGGGGGCCGGGACCAACACCGGGACAAACAATGCAAAGTCGGTAAAGTTAACTTCCACAAGAAAAAATCCGTTTGGCTTTAAAGGAATATGCAAATTACGATGTAGGATTAGCTAGCGACCTGACCTTCTGTCTGCTCTCAAGAATTCCCTCTCTCTTTCTTGCCTTCTCTTCCTCCTTTTCTTCCTTCCCTCTTCTTCCTCCTTTCTTTTGTCTATCTTTCGCTCAATCCAAAGAGAATTACGTATTGCCGATCCAATAGTCTTATTTTTATATATATCTTGTTTATCTGTTTAAAAATCTATTTTATTTCTTCGATTTTGGATAAAGGTTCTTGAGAAAAGGAACCAGTACTATTTTTTTTAATTTATCGTCAACGTTAGCTTGCATTGATATCGGAAACCTCAAATATTTACCTGCGATATACAGAGACCCCGCCCGCTTCCCCTCCCCCCCACCCCCCCTAAACAAAACAAAAAATAATAGTACTGTAACATTTCCATTATTCGAGAAAGCACAGAAGTCGGGGAGGGGAGGGGGGAAGGGGGGAGGGGGGATCCCATCTGGAGTCAAAACAACCTAATTCCCCTCAAGAACGACAACAATAGTGGGCGGGGGTGGGGGGGTGGGGGGGAGGAGGAGGTCCTTTTCTTCCCCTGCCTGTGGGTGGCCAGGGGCGGGTCGCACAGGGAGTGGGGAGTGAGGGCGAGAGGGAAAGAGGGAGAGATGAGAGTCAGGTGGGGGGGGAGGGGGAGAGAGGATAGATGAGGGTTGGTGGCTAGGGGGGGGGGAGGATAGATGAGGGTAGGGGACTAGGGGGGGAGGGAGAGGATAGATGAGGGTAGGGGGCTAGGGGAAGGGGAGGGAGTTTGGGGAAGGGGGAGGGGGGGGGGCAGGCGAAAGATCACTTCAAGGAGGCGACAACCGGACACTCAGGTACTTTACTGACCCCATCCGATCCGCCTTATCTTGTAAGGACTCCGAGCTGAGGGATAACATTATGTCGCCCCAAAAGACTCCTTAGATGAAAATGTCAGTTGATGGGGGGTAGGGGGAGAGGGACTTTTTTTTCTCTTCTCTTGTAGTTCGGGTCATTAAGCGATCTGTCTTCGATAGAGGAACACTTCGTCGGTCTGTTCGGTCAGTCGCTCCTTCGGTCCGGGTCTTCGTTAAGATTCCGGCGCGGACGTCATTTTTCTCGGCTTGGCACTTCTCTTGAGTTTTTTTAGGCTTTTTTTTATCTTTTTCTCTCTCTCTGTATGTCTTTCTGTGTTCTTTCTGTCTCTTTCTTTCGGTTTCTCTCTCTCCCTCTTTCTTTCGGTTTCTCTCTCTCTCTCTCTCTCTCTCTCTCTCTCTCTCTCTCTCTCTCTCTCTCTCTCTCTCCCTCTTTCTTTCGGTTTCTCTCTCTCTCTCTCTCTCTCTCTCTCTCTCTCTCTCTCTCTCTCTCTCTCTCTCTCTCTCTCTCTCTCTCTCTCTCTCTCTCTCTCTCTCTCCCTTCCTCCCTCCCTCCCTCCCTCTCTTCCCTTTTCTCCATATCCATCTTTATCTTACCCACCCTCCTCCTTATCATTAAATTTCCCTGTATACACCTGTTTAATCAGCAACCAAACGCACGTTCCCTTCACGCGTATTTCTAAAAGCAAAAAATCCGCCAGCCATTTGTAGGGAATCTGATTTCGCATATTGCAGCGCGCGAAGGGGAATTCGGGGTGTATCTAATGCAGCCAAAGTGCTCTAGCAGGGAAAGAAGTGCGGAGTTTGAAAAATGCGCCGCGTAGGGAGCTCACTGGGATGGAAATGTAGGAGAAATGCACGCGCTTGATGATATACATAGATCAGTGTGTGTATGTTTATGTATATGTGTTAAGAATATATGCATATGCATATATATAGATAGATAAGTTATTAGATAGATAGATATATAGGTACATAGGTAGATATATAGGTAGATAGGTAGAAATATATAGAATATATATGTATATATATATCTATATCTATATGTGTGTGTGTGTGAGTGTTTATGTTTGTGTCTATCTGTGTGTGTGTTTGTGTGTGTGTGTGTGTGTGTGTGTGTGTGTGTGTGTGTGTGTGTGTGTGTGCGTGTGCGTGTATGAAGCTGATAGTTGATTAATTAAACTGGTGTGTGATTTACCTAAACTCATGAAGCAGAGATAAAGAAGACTTCGGTAAATGGTTTGCGATCCTTAATGTGTTTGGAGAAAGAACGAGAGGGAGGGAGTGAATAAGTGAGTGAATGAGAGAGATAGAGAGAGAGAGAGAGAGAGAGAGAGAGAGAGAGAGAGAGAGAGAGAGAGAGAGAGAGAGCGAGAGAGAGAGAGAGAGAACGAAAGAGAAAGAGAGAACGAAAGAGAAAGAGAGAGGACGAAAAAGAAAGACAAAGACATAGAGAGAAGAAAATAGATAAAAAAAAAAGAAACCAATAGACCGAAAAGAGAAAGAGAGATAACTCAAAACCTCTTTCTAAACACCCCCACACCCACCCTCCCTCCCTCCTCCCCCTCACGCCCCCCCCCCCCCCCCCCCGGTAAGGCAACCCAAGAAGGAAAATCGCGAACAGAAGCCATGTGTACCTAAGAAATGTATTAAGTGTGTAACGAGGAATCTCTATCCCACACGGCGAGGCTGGAGAGTTTCTTAACTACCCGGAAAAAAACAGCGTCTTGAGTCAGACTTGGCGGCTGTCTTTGCTCTGGCGGCAGAAGTGGTGTGCGAGAGGAGGGAGTGGATGAGAGAGGGAGAAGGAGAGGGAGATGGGGAGGGTGAAAGAGAGGGAAGGAGAGGCAGATGGGGAGGGAAAAGGAAGGAGAGGGAGAGGAAAAGAGAGGGAGAGGGAGATGGGGAGGGAGAGGGAAGGAGAGGGAGATAGGGAGGGAGAGGAAAATAGAGGAAATGAGAGGGAGAGGGGAAGGAGTAGGTTAGAAGAAGGAGCAAGAAGCAGATAGAGAAGCAGATGCAGAAAGACAAAGGAAGAGAGGGAGAGAGAGAGAGAGAGAGAGGAAGAAAAAGTGCAAGAGAAAGGGGAAAGAGAAAAAGAGAGCGAGAGAATTTGAGTGAGAGATGGGTAGATAGATAGCGAGAGAAAGAGAGAGAGAATGACAGAAAGAACATAAGAAAGAGGGAAAGAAAGGATAAGAGAGAAAGAGTATTCTAAAGACTACTCTTCAAGGAAAATGTCTATTACCCTTCCATCTTAACAGATCCAACCAACCAACCCCTTTCTCAGTGCAAACTCTCCCTCGATAGAACAACACAGCGACTTCCTTCGTATTGCAGCAATAGAGGTTTGCAAGTGATTTTGACCTTCAGAGTTCACCCACACGAGCGCAAGCAGACGAGCCTATACTGTCTATCACCCTACCTCTTCCAGGACCCTTTCCTCACCCCCCTCCCCCTACCCATCCCCTGCTTTCCCCTGCTTCCCCCCTCCCCCTTATCCCTGTCTTCAGTTCCCCTCTCCCTTCTGCATTTTCCTCTCCTTTTCCCATCACTCCCCTATCCCTCCCTTCAACTCTCCCTCCCCTTCCTTTCCTAACTCCCTTCTCCCTTCCCCTTCCACTCACCTACTCCCCCCACCCCCTACTCAACCCCCTCCCTTCGACACCCCCCCCCCCACACACACACACACAACCACCCTTACCCCCCCCCCCTCCCTGATCCCCCAGGACGAGAGATATCCTACTTGACCACCTCACAATAGGCTGGGAGTTGGGTGGGGGGGGGGGGGGGTCCTTCCTTACTCCCCCCCTCCCCTCCCCCTTCCTAGGCCTACTTCGCGCGCTGTCCGAATAATACAAACCTATAATCGCTCTAATTCGCACCACAATAGGATTTTCGTTCCGTGGGGGTTCAACTGCGGAGATTTTCCTTCTTCTTTTTTTATGAAACTCAAGCTCCTGGATTTCGATTAATTTTTTATATGTTCTTTTTCATTTTATTCCCATTTTTTTCTCTTTATTTCTTTTTCTTTTTTTTTTAAATTTAATCTTCCACTCCTTTTTGATTCCTGAAGCGAAGGCGTGACGCGTTGGGCCGAGGTCTTTTTCTCCTTGACACCGGATTAACTCTTGTGTAAATGATTGGTTGACTAATAGGATAAAAGAGGGGAGGGGGAGAAGGGGGGGAGGGGAGGGAGGGAATAGGGGAGAGGGGAGGGGGAGGAGAGGGAAGGAGGGGACAGGGGAGGAGGGAGGGAGGAGGGGGAGGGGTGGAGGGGGAAGGGATCCTGGGGGTGAAAAAAAAGAAGTTATCTGGAACAGGTGTTTCCATCGTCGATTTTGTTGTTGTTGTTGTTTTGTTGTTTATTTCTTGTACTTAATTTAATTTCTTTATAGTTTTCTTTTCTTTTCTTCTCCGCTCAGTAATTTCCCTATCGGTTATGGCTTTTTCTCTCGTAGTTTTTATCATGTTGCATATTTCCTGTCCCGATCTTGTACAATCTACCTTTTTTATTTTTAATTCCGTCGGTGCACTTTTTCCTTCGTTGCTAATGT